TCATTTTTTTGGGACAAGGTAAAGTAAAATTTGTAGTCATTTTAAAGGAATCCTTGCCATCCAAAGTTGACAATGAAAACGAACTATAGTAAGAGCACAATGGTGAGTGCTCCAACCATAGCAGATCCGTTGATGGTAATTCTATTCAAACATTATAAGGCTATGGGTAATCAACCATATAAAACTAGCAATTTAAAGAGAAAATCTCTTGTTTGAACCTGAGCACTCACATGTTCTTGAGGTAGGCAACATGCAACAACAGTTTTAGAGTCTACTTCGAGGTTTTAGAGACTAAAGAGAACTTGCCTGTTCTGTCTCTACTTCAACAGTTCAATTCAAAGCTCGAATTAGCCCTAAGCCATAATATCTTCTAATAGTTTTTTTACTCATTTCATCGATTCTACCCCTTTATAAAGAAACTATTTCCCCTGCTTGAGACACCTGCCTTCAACAATTTGTGGTGCAAAGTGAAAGGTGTATTGACTCTAAACACTTCAAAACCAATACACTTGGAGTGAAACATAGCATCTTTCCTTTAATTTCATTTTATTTATTTCCTAATAAGCAAAACCAATACACAAAGCCCATTAGAGAGTAGTCCCGAGGATAATAAAAGGAATACTAAACAGGAGAGAAAGAGATAGAGAAATTACTAGGCATTAACAGATACTGAGATGAAAACTGAATATTGACGCCATTTTCATTTTCACAAAATAGATTATCGTTATTTATCGACAAAGATAAATGGCTTTTGAATAGGAAATCATATCAAAAAGCTAGAACAATGGTAGCAAATGATAGAACTCGCTGAACTAATGATAAGGAGAGATGAGGGCTTTTGAGAACTATTGTAGCTAAGAATCGTTCTCTTGTCTCTCGAACTCTTGAAGAGGGCTTTTGAGAAAACAGTCGAAATCGATGCAATAGGTATGCTTATTTACTTCGACCAACAACGAGAGCAAAATTTTCTTTGGTTTTAAAGAAGCAATATTTTCACTTATTTTCGATGCAAATCTTAGTCCATACACATTTTTGCATCGAAAATTAATGTATTTTTGTACCCTTATCAAATGAATGCAAATCTGAACCGGAGTGCAAATTTGCAATGGTTCAGCATTTGCATTCCTTGGATTTAACATTTTCCATTTGGCTTAGCTTGGAAGGAGTACAAATGCAAATATAAATAGAGTACAAAACCTTATATTTTGTATTATTTTATATGTATTTGCATTTATACTCTTTCTAAACCGAGCCTTTGTAATGATTTCCTTAGAACATTTGCCGCTGCAAATGCTGTTAGGTTGGTGTGAAGACTGTTCTGTGAGGAGCAATTCCAGATTCCTTACCACCTAATCAACTATTACCATGCAAATACGAGAGATGTTCTGAATATGCCCTGCTGTAGTGATACGTGGATTGGTGTGGGTATGGTTCTTCTGGGTAAGAAATCCGAACACCCTTAAAAAACTTTGGAAGTAAGGCGTCCAGGACACTTGTGCTATGCTCAAACCAAGCTGCATTGAAGAATGCCAGCCCAACGAATCCAAGTGCAATTCAAAGTTCCTTGGGTCACTTGTAAGTTGAATTGTCTACATCACCCCAGTCAGGTTTCCAGGTTTATTCATTGCTGACTTGAAAAAAAGGTCAAGTCAGTCAAGCAGCAAACCTGGTAACTTGGGATTGAACTAGGGGTGAGCATTAATTTGGTTTATTCGGTTAAAAATTTAATTGAATAAATCAAAATTTTAAAATCGAAATAAAAAAAAATGAAAATTGAATTACAAGAAAATCAAAATAACTGAAACCAAAATTTTCGATTTGGTTTTTGGTTATTTCGATTAAAACTGAATTTAATATATATATATATATATCATTATATATTATAACTTATAATATATATTAAGAAATTGAATTTCATTATAATACATTATATATAATATATTAATATATAAATATATAGCATATTATATATTAAATGTTATATATTATATATTATATATTACATATTATATAATGAATTTCAATTAACTCGATTTTTTCAGTTAACCGGATTTCTAACTCTAAAAATCAATATAAAAAACCGAAATTCCTAAAAATTAAATTAATTGAACCAAATTACCTAAAAACCAAAAAACCAAAACCAAAATTTTTGATTCGATATTTTCGATTTTAACCGAATAGTACTCACCCCTAACGTGCCAATTCGCAAGCATCCACTGCCCAATCAATCGGATTGACTGAAATCTTCACACAAGATTGATGTGATCACCAGACTCAAAGTAACATGTATCAAGAGGTTTAGGCCGGTTTCAAAGTGGCGGGTCCCACTATAAAAGTGGGGTCATGAGATGTGCCGTGTCAGATCTTGTTGGTAGAAGGTTGGAAGTTGTTTTGTTGGCAGGTAATCCGGACTCCCATTTATGAGTGACGACCATTATTTTTATTCATAGAGAATTCTTATTAGCCAATCATGATATGCCACATCAACTTAATATATACGGCCCGTGTGCACGAGGCACATGTGTTTTGCCATTGGCCCAGTATTATGAATAGAACTGTATACCATTGAAACTCAGGATGAGGGGATGAGTCTTTGGACATAAATGGATATAGTTTATTGGACAATAATAAGTGCTAGTTTGAGAAGACTTTCATATGAAATGGGATTTTCTTCTCACAGAGTATATGTTTGGCATCAGTGCTGCAGATATAGCACAATTTTCTCAGAAAAATAGTGTCTTTTTTTCTGTTTGGTAACATTGCTGCCAGGTAGACCTGTTCATGGGCCGAGCCAGGCCGGGCTTTCACTCTGTATTAACAGATTTTTCTAAGGCCCGAGCCCGACCATCAGGCCTACAACTTGGGCCCGAGCCCGGCCCTCATAAAAAGCCCAAAGCCCGGGCCTGGGCCCGAGCCCGAAATTTATCCCATGTTGTTACTACTGCTGAAGCGACTGAATAGAGAGAGAGAGTGAGAGAAATTATAAAGAAAAAAATAAAAAAATGTATATATTAAATTATAAATATATATTTCAAAAAATATTATATTATTTATATATTTTATATAATATATAAAATACATATTATGTATTTTATAAAATATATAATGTTGAGTCGGGCTGGGTTGGGCTTTTTTGACAAATCCCGAGCCCGGCCCGTAACACAGTCAGGCTTACTGTGTTAGGCCCGAAGTCAAGCCCGCAGGCCTAATTACATGACCAAGACCAACCGGGGTGCGGGCCGGGCCGGGTCGGGCCATCGGGCTACCTGGCCCATGAACAGGTCTACTGCCTGGTAGGACGTTTCTTGGAACAACAACACTTTCTATTTGGTACCAGTGCTCCATGCTTGTTTTTAGCACTAGTACCCATTATAGGAAGTTCACGTCATTGCCACATCATGTCCCCGTTGGCAGCAACGAGCTGTAATATGAGAAAATGCCAAATTCAACGTTGCTCCAAACCATGCCTTCTCAATTTCCAAGGCATGGCTTGGAGCACCATTTTTTATGGAAAAGTGGTTCCAACAAACAGGCATTTCCTAAAGCACTGTTTTTCTGACATGACACTGATTTGTCACCGTTTTCTAGAGCAACGACATTAATGCCAAATAGATGCAAAACTAATCTCACAACACATTACAACCCTCAAATATCTTCTCATAAATGGGAAAATCAAGTATGGGAAATGTTCTCAACACATGGCTGAAAGTGCTGTTAGGTTGGTGTGAGGCACACCTGTGAGGAGCAAATCCGAATTCCTTTCACGAAGGCTCCTGGTTGCAAGGTGAACCCCACATGGAACGCCATGAAACTATATATATTAGGTGAAAAACCCAAAAAGCCTGAAAAAGGCATCCCACAACACATCCCCATCGTGTATTGAGAACATCACCCAATGAAATAATGATGTCATCATCAGGAGATATTCCCAATACACGGCGAGAATGTGCTGTGGGACGTTGGAGATGTTTGGTTCCGTTGGTGTCTATTGAAAAAACATTGCCACATCAATGACACATAGCGTTGGTGTTTATTGCAGATGAAGTAAAATGAAACAATTGTTTGGTTTCACCGTTTATCAAATAAATGGTAGAAAACTGAAACACTTTGATTTTTGTACATGGGAAATTTAGGGAAACGTCAAATTCTTGTTTCCCCCAATGCCCCAATGTTTATTGAAATCAAATACTGATGTAATATACTTTAATGGGCATTAATTTGAGATGAAGAGTAAAAAACATTTAAAGTGAAATTCAACCAAACAGCAAAAACAGGAAATGTTTAAAGTGAAACAGTGCAAATAAACGCCCTATCCATAAACACCCATAGAACCAAACACATACGTTGTGTGTGGGGCACCCCCTTGTGGGGCGCAAATGTGAATTCGAGAAATCGACCTTCTGGTGAAACAAGTTTTGAATCTTTTGATAGCTCCTAAGCGGTTCAGTCAGGCAGCTTAAGCTTCCCAAAAGGGCCCAAGCCATGCTTGTCCTTCTGGCTCAACTAATATATGCGGGCGCCAGACACTAATGCGAAGGGTGCTATAAAAGTGGCACTGCAAGGATTTCCGGGCTACAAACTGAACTGGAAAACGGACTTGATCCAATTGCATTGCCATAAAACTAGATATTCTCATCATTCAACAACTCTTCCAAACAAGGACCTAATTTAAAAAGGCAGGCGATAAAAGTAAGGGTCAGTTTGGTTCACAGTTGGAATAAAAAACGGAATCAGAATCAAAATCTTCCAGAACCGGAATCGGAATAATCCATTCCCATTGTTTAGTTCAGACAGAAATGGGAATGAAAATTGAAATCAGCAGGAATGAGATTTCATTCCCAAGGGAAGGGCAGGGAATGACTATTTCCTCAAGGGAATGCCATTCCAGCAGGAATGGAAATGGGATTCCAATTCCATCCAACCAAACAGTTAGGAATCGGTATAGCCCATTCCCATTCCGATTCCAGACCCCTATTCCCACAAACCAAATGGGGCCTAAGTGTCTTGGAAGCTGTTCCACCATGATAAATGTAGGCAAAATCACATGAAATGCATTCTGAAAAAAAAAAAAATGACAATTCAATATCTCCAGTGTGGATACAGCGGCACCTGGTGATATACAGCACAAATTCCATCCAAAAAAAAAGAAAAAACTGTTGGCTATCCGGCTGTCCACTCTGTGGAGATTCGGGTAGAGAGCCTTCCCAGATAACAGGCGCCTTGCTTTTCTAACAACTTTTTTTGGTGTCCCTACCGGTAGCTTAGAATAACATCATCATTTATCTGTTAAAGATAAACAAAGAACATCAGTGATGAAACTGAACGCTACTTCACCCTCTGAAAGAATTCAGGGTTGGAACTTACAGACTTGGCTAGTTCTTTAGCTTTCTCATTATCAAAGCCAAGAGTAGCCATTATCTTGTGGCCTGCGGATTCTTCTTCGGACCAAATGCCAAGAAGTAAATGGGTTGTTGTTATCTCTCCATTGTCACCTGCACTCGATAAATGATTTAACTGAATAAAAAGGAATGGTTTCTCATGTAGCAATAGCACACACAATAAGGAAGGAAAACGATAGGACATACGTTAGATAAGGTTTTTGGTATTTCCACGAGAGTTGGAGTGCAAATAATTTAAGATCCCGATATTTTGTATCAGAAAGTAATAAATGAATGACCTAGGATACATGTGCCTACATATTTAGGCATCGGATTTCGTTGTCAAATCTGGAAATTGTCCTCCGAAAGGAGAAGAAAAAAACCTAAACAAGGTAATTGTCTTTCGTACCATTAGTGTCCTATAATTTTGTTTTGGAGAATTTTATTTTTTTCCAAGTGTTCAAAAATAATGGAAAGGAGCAACTGGTTTACTCACAAGATAAAGTTCATGGTTAAGTAGGTGACCATCCATCTGAAATCAAGACATGAGATTTTCTTCCCAATGCAGATGGCTAGACCTCTTTCAAGGTGTTACCAGGCCCAACCCTAGGACTAGGGGGCAGAGCTCTCATCTAGTGATAACTAGCTTCCTTTTTACACCTAAATCAAGAAATGGGCTGAATCTGTGCTCTCATCTTGTGATAGCTTGCTCCTTCCTGATGCAGGTAGGGGCAAAGCCATTCTTTTTTTCAGTCCTCACATGTAAATTATAAACTGGATTATTGAATCTGTACTCTCAAACTTTTAACAGCTCCTACTTTCAGAATGTGATTCTGTGATATTGATAGAGAAGCTCCTACTTGTGAGACTATCAAAGGGGTTTAAGACAAGATAGAGAAGCTCTCTACTCACATCCTTCCTTTACCTTCTTTCTTTCAGTTTGTTTTCTTTTTTTTTTATAGGAAACAGTAACTTTCATTAGAGAATTGAAAAGATTACAGGCTTACCACCCACAAAATGGATGGAAAAAGAAAATCAAAAACTTACAAACAGGCCCAAAACAAAGCCTCCCTAGTAACTCATTGCTTAGCTAAAGTGTAAGCCATTCCATTTGCTGACCTTCTTATCCATTTAAAATGCACCCCAATCTCCCTTGCTAAGCTAATAATCTCTCTTAGAGGCTGTCTAAGAGACCACACTCCCAGGTTTCCAGCTTGCATCCACCCTATTACCAGCTTGGAGTCTCCTTCCACTTCTAAGTGCTACATTCCCCATTGTTTCGTCAGTTTCAAACCTTGAAGTAAGGCCATTACTTCTGCCCTTGATGAATCTCCCACCCCAATTGGGCCCGAGTAAAGGGCCAAGACTTTTCCTTCCTCATTTCTGTACACACCCCCCAACTCCCAACTGACCTGGATTACCCAAGGAGCTTCCATCAAAGTTTAGCTTGAACTGAGGCGGTGGTACCCAACATTCCTGTACCTCAGGGGAGGAAGGCGAGGATACAGCTATAGCACTCCAATTTCTAATTAAGTCAGCTGAGGAGAGAAGTCCTTGAAGAGTTGATGTACTTTCAACCAGTGCATAACCTTGATGGTGACAATCTCCACAAGTGCTTCATTGGATTTTTCTTGCCCTAGGAAGTTCCTATTGTTTCTCTTCCCAAATTGACCATAGGATGGCTGCTCTTGTTATTCTCCACATTACCCTGCCCCATTTCCTTGGTTGTTGGAAGAAGCTAGTCACAAAGGTTCAGCAGACCTTGAGGGGGAGGGGGGGGGTCCATCTGTAACCAAACAAAGAAAAGAACCAATCCCACAAATAATAAGCAAAAGGACAAGAAATCAAAAGATGAGTCACTGTCTCACCATTTCTTAAGCAAAGGTAACATACATGTGGGGAAAGTCTCTAGTCTGGCCTTTTCTTTGAAGTACATCCATAGTATTGATCTTTTGAAGAGCCACTTCCCAACAAAAAGCCCTAACCTTTGGTAGCACAGGAGAATACCAGATTTCTTTAGCAGGAAAAGAGACAAACACAAAAGAAGACTGAACTAAGGCGTTGAAAAAAGATGAACAAGAGAAAGTCCCTGAAGATGACTCTTTCCAAATTCTACTATTTGGGCAAAAAAGATCTAGGAAAACTAAATTCAACACAGTGAATAACTCATCTGTAGAAGCCAATTCTAAATCCCTCAACCCTATCCTCAAACCCAAATCCCAAGTCCCCTCAGACACACGAAGTGAGGAGATGGTTTTGAATTTATTTAGGGAAAGAGAATACATTACCAGGAATCTATCCTTAAGGGGGGTGTTCCCAAGCCAAAGGTCCTCCCAAAACAGAACTTTATTACCTGAGCACACATCAAGTCTGATGAAAGGCTGAAAGGAAGGCAAGACTCCAAAAATTGCTTTCCAAGGGGAGAAATGAGAAGCCCTAGGGTCGATGCCAGCATCCCATCCATTAGCTGCCATCTCGTGAATACTTTCCACCACCAAGTGCCACAAACTCTCCAACGGAAATCTTCACAACCACTTTCCTAACAAAGCTACATTTCTTAATCCAGTATTGCCAATACCTAGACCCCCCGCTTCCTTTTTCCTGGAAATTACTTCCCACTTCACTAAATGGTCTTTTTTTGAGTCACCCGGTTCCCACATAAAATCTCTCATGAGCTTTTCTAACTTATTGGCAACCTTGGCATGAAGCTTAAAGGTAGACAGAAAATACACCGGAAGGTTGGCCAGAGTGGACTTGATTAAAGTGGTTCTACCCCCTAGTGAGATATAATTTCTCTTCCACCCTGCTAGCTTCTTAGTAAATCTTTCTAAAACTGGGTACCAAAAGTTTTCTGTTCTAGGATTTCCTCCCAGGGGCAGACCTAAATATACCAAAGGCCAACCACTTACCTCGTAACCTAAAGCCCTAGTCACCAACTGCACTTCATCATCCCGTAAATTCACCCCCGCTACACAACTCTTGTTCCAATTGATTTTTAGATTGGAGACTCTCTCAAAATGCATCACCACCAATTTCAAATTATCCATCTCCTCAATTTCCCCTTCACAAAAGAGAATGATATCATCCGCAAACTATAGGTGAGTGAATCACTTGTTGCCTCCCAAAAGAGAATGATATCATTTTGTCTTACTTCTTTCTGTTTTGCTAAAAGCACCCACTAAAGCTCCCTCCTCTTGGTTCAAGTAACTTCTACTTCAGTTAGGTGTTTTGAAGATCTGCCTTCACTCAAAAGGCATAAAGTCTAATTCCTAATCATAATACAAATACAAAAGAAAATCCCCCCCCCCAATGTAACACACACACACACACATACACGAAAAGAAAAGTAGCATAGTTGTATGTAACTATGAACGGAATTCCGTACATCAGCAACTTTCTTTCTTGATTAGCTGCATAAATCTTCCCTTAATTCAATTTAGGCATGATAAAGAAAAAAATTAGTTAAGTCCAACCTGTAAAGCTACAAGCAGTTTACATAGGTTGAGGAAGCTAGATTCAATAGTCAATAGTCCCATCTATATACTGGTCAAACTTGTCCTCATCTTTTCAGAAGCCTGTAAACACAGTTTTCACTCAGACCAGGCATAAAACTATTTTCGACACAGGGCCAAACCGACCAACGTCAACAACAACAACAACAATAATAATAATAATAATAATAATAATAATAATAATAATAATAATAATAATAAAGGCCAGATTAGTGCCTTTCCCCAAATGTCTGTTGCCTTTGCTTAAGAAATGGTGAGACGGCGACTCATCTTTTTATTTCTTGTCCTTTTGCTTCTTATTTGTGGGATTGATTCTTTTCTTTGTTTGGTTGCAGATGGAATCCCCCCTCGGGTGTGATGAACCTTTTTTACTCTAGCTTATTCCGACAACTAAGGAAAAGAGGCAAGGTAATGTGGAGAATAACAAGAGCAGCCATTCTTTGGTCAATTTGGGAGAAGATAAACAATAGGATCTTCCAAGGGCAAGAAAAATCCAAAGAAGCACTTGTCGAGGTTATCACCATCAAGGCTATGCATTGGCTGAAAGTACAACATCTCTTCAAGGACTTCTCCTCAGTTGACTTAATTAGAAATTGGAGTGCTATAACTATATCCTCTCCCTCTTCTATAAGAAAGTTGGGCACCACTGCCTCACTTTAGGGTGAAGTTAAACCTTGATGGAAGCTCCTTGGGTAATCCAGGTCAGTTGGGAGTTGGGGGTGTGTTTAGAAATGAGGAAGGAAAAGTCTTGGCCCTTTACTTGCGCCCAATTGGGATGGGGGATTCCTTAAGGGCAGAAGTAAGGGCCTTACTTCAAGGATTGAGACTGACAAAACAATGGGGAATGCAGCAATTAGAAGCGGAAGGAGACTCCAAGCTGGTAATAGGGTGGATGCAATCTAGAAACTTGGGAGTTTGGTCTCTTAAACAGCCTCTAAGAGAGATTATTAGCTTAGCAAGGGAGATCAGGGTGCAATTTAAATGGGTAAGAAGGTCAGAAAATGGAACGGCTGACACTTTAGCTAAGCAAGGAGCTACTAGGGAGACTTTGTTTTGGGCTTGTTTGTAAGATTTTGTTTTGATATTCCATCCACTTTGTGGGTGGTAAATCTGTAATCTTTTCAAATCATCAATAAAGTTACCGTTTCCTATAATAATAAAAATAAAATTAATAATAATAACAGGTTTTCTTTTAGTTTCCCACTAAAAGACTTAGGTTCAGGTAGGGGTTGCAAGTCAGGGGCCCTGATTTGAAGAATTTTATACTGTGTTAGATCCATTCAAATATTAACAAATTCTCAACCCGAGCTTGCCCAAGCTGCAGCCCTAGGTTCAGGTTATCAAAGTAATTTTGTGTTGTTCTTCCAAGTACATCGTAGACAACTTCATTTTCCTGTTGCATCAGGTGGTATTATTAGAGTGTAATTTGAGTTCATATTTCTGTAACAATAGCAATTAAATTATCTGGATCCAAATGAGGTGTACAGTCTTGAGAATACCAATATTGGGGTCACCAACAATGTCAACAAGAATTATAGTTTTGAAGCAGTCGGGAAATTTAGCTTGAGAAGACAATAGAAAGCAATGTATAGAGAACCAGACCGGGCATAGAACCAGAGAAGGGAGAGAGGTTCACGGGTTCCAACAATGTCAACAAGAATTATAGTTCTGAAGCAATCGGGAAATTTAGCTTGAGAAGACAATAGAAAGCAATGTTTAGAGAACCAGACCGGGCATAGAACCAGAGAAGGGAGAGGTTCACGGGTTAGAGGTTCGACCAGGGTCGAACCGTGATGATGTGGCATATAAATATATATACTACAGGTCATATAACTACTATATATAATATATTTTACAATTTTTAATGTACTTAAATATGGTGGATGGATGGTAAGCTTCTTAATTTTTAAAACAGATGACTAGGGTTCAAGCCTTTTAACTTACATTTTCTTTAAAATATGGGCATAATAATGTAATATGTATAGTCATTAATTAGCACAAGTAAAGAGGTGGACTAGTGGTAATAAAGTAATCTGTGAAAAATAAAAGGTCTTGGATTCAAAATTTTAAAATTTCACTTATGTATGGACCTGGGCGGTTTCATGAAACCAGGACCGGTTCACCGGTTTTTCGGTTAAACCGGCCGGTCAGACAGTTTTCAGTGGGTTTAAGCAAATCCGGTTATTGGGCTGTGACCAAACCGGTCAGTGCCCTGGGTCACAGTTCAACCGGCCAGTCTGGTCCGGTTTTCTAAACACTAATAAAAAATAACATATCTGGGAAATCAGATTTTCATTGGATATTTTTAAAGCAAAAAATTAACATTATATAAAAAGAAAAGAGGTATACAATAAGTATATTGTGTTGCAACTTTTCATTGGATATAAGTGATGAAATTTTTTATCAGGACTACATAACATTATCATCTATTCATATTCCCTTAGGAAACCCATTGTTGGAGAAAATGAGGACAAGTCTCTAAACTGAACATTGTGCCTAGACTTTTTTAGAAGAATGGCCAAAGGACCATTCTTGTTGGATACTTGAAAATCCAAAAACAGAGATTGAAGTAGGGAAACATGATAAAATTTTCAAATAACAGGCTATTGCTCCTTTCACTAAGGTTGTTGAAGAAAGAACTCCTGGCTCTATTTGAAGTTGAAAACAAAATGATAGAAGTTCAGAAACAAGTTAAAGAACTATGGGGATGATCTTCGGAATCCTTGGTGAGATGGATCCTGAACTCTATCTGTTGCAATTTCTTTGATCCATGAAGATGGTACCTGCACTATTCAAAAATCTCCACTGACTTTTATCACTAAAATTCATAGAATTAGGACACAAAGGATTTGCTAATAACCTATATTTTTTCTCAGCTTGGTTTACTTAGAATTGACATAGTAATAATTACACAGACATATATTCTTGGTATCATGACCTGAAGAGATCTACTACAATTATTTCATAACCAAGACAAAGAACCCTAACACAACTGATAATAAATGTCTCCACCCAACCTGTGGGCATTGCTCATGTAAACAGCCCCTTGATCATGCACAGATTATTATATCACCCAATGAAGGGTGGATGTATATGGTACACACAAATGAGCAATCGGGACTCAAAATTACAGCATACTAAAACAGCCATATACAGTCATTTAAAATTATTGCAACCATAAGAATAAATAAAGACAGAAAACTACCTGATTTCAGTTTCTCATCAACTGCCCAATCAAGGGCCTTTTGAGCTGGTTCAGTCAATGGAGGATGTTCAGGACTGAAGAAATACATGTCAGATTTTCCAAGTAACTTGATAGTTTCTTCTCGCACCTTGAGAAGTGTGATTCCATTTGCCCGCAAAAAAATTGCTGCTAGACTGGTTCCTGCTGACAAAAGAGATGATATAAAGATGTGCCAATACATGATAGATATGGAAGATAATACCAAACTTTTCCTTCTCAATAAAAGTCTAAATAAAACATTCAAATCGCATGGCTATACGGTTTAAAATGTGAAAGGTAAAACAAAACCAAGTCCATGAAAATAAATGCTATGTAACTGTCAAGCTATAGATGTGTGAAACCTTAGATCTCAACGTGCACACAGTTGAAGTTTTTAGCATGTTCAATGGCACATTAATGGAGTTGCAAGTTATAATGGAATAAGTTAGTAAGTAGTGGGCATTTTTTTGGTGGTGGTGAGGTTCCTGAAATATAAAACTTTGCAAGATTAGTTTTCATACACATACAGTGATGACAAATTTTTATTTTAAGAAAGATAAAAGCACAGAAAAGCAAATATAGCTCAAACCAAGGCAGGAGACACTATGGCCATACAAGGCCAAACATAAAATTACAAAGGAAAGATAGTCAAATACTGCATTTCTCTACAAAACACTTCTGCTAATACCACAATCCTATAGGCTGATCTAAGCCATCATAGAAATAAATTTTATCTAGTATCTAGATGCAAAAGCTTAAGCCTTCAGTGCGATAACAATCGTTTGCCAGTAGACCTGAAATATCAAAGTATATGAAAACAACTGCTCAAGAAATAAGTATATGAAAGCCAGATTCCAAATGATAGGCACATAAAGAACAAATGAATATGCAAGCCAGCTTACCATACTGATAATGTCTGGGAGTTGATAGTTGATCTCAGTAGGACTGTCTTCTGGATATGTTTGAACAAGAACTGTATCATTAAGATAGTTGAAGGCATAATTGCATTGAGAAACAAAGATACCTTCAACATTAAAACATGAGACACATTTACGAAGAACCACCATTATCATCTAAGCCTCGTCCCAAATATGTGGGGTAGGCTACATGAATCTGTTTTGTTCAGTGCGGTATCCATTATTAAATTATGAGCCATTAAATCATTTCTCACTAATTCAACCCATGCACTTTTTGCTCTGCCCCCAGCCTCTTCTATACCCTTGAACTTGTAACAGATCACTTCTTCTTACTAGTGTTGTAGTAGTCTTCTCAGCATTTGACCAAACCATCTTAGTCTACTTTCCCTTGTTTTATGGCCTATTAGAGCTACTCCTAGATTCCTTCAAGTAAGTTGATTTCTTTTTTTTTTTTTTTTGATGAATGATTCAAGTAAGTTCATTTCTAATCCTACCCTTTCTTGTTTTCCTGCTCATCCATCTCAAATTTGCATTTCTGCCACACTCGTTTTTGGACATGTAGTTTCATGACTGCGCAACACTCTACTCCATAGTCCAGACAACATTACTGCCTTATAATCATTTTATAGAATTTTCCTTTTAGCCTAAGTAGTATTCTCCTATAAAATAAGACATTGGATGCTCCCCTCCATTTTGCCCCTCCTGCTCTAATTCTATGAGCGGCGTCATCCTCAATCTCTCCCTTGTTATGGATCACTAAACAAAGGTAAAGGAATAGGTCACATTGAGGTATCTCTTGGTTTCCAATCCTAAGTGCACCCTGGTTCCCACTCCTATTATTGTTAAATCTGCATTGCATATATTTTTCTTTTAGTGATATTAGTCCATAAATCTAATTTTGCATTCAATTTTTCTCTAGTTTCATCAATTAATACATGTCATCAGAAAACAACAAAAACCATGGAACCTCCTCCAAAATACGTTTAGTCAATTCATCCATGACTGGTGCAAATAAATAAGGGCTAAGTGCCAAGCCTTGGTGAAGTCCCAATGTGACAGGAAACTTTGATGTCTCTTCTAAGGTGTTATAACATTGGTTGTTGTAGCCCCATGCATGTCCTCGATTAGGTCCACATACCTATTTACAAGGAACCAATCTCCAAAATTGTTATCCTCCCTTGTTGGTAAGGTACAATCCTCTTATGAGACAATGCCCTCTGCCCTCCAGTGAAGAAGCTAGTACACTCAGTAATTGAGCCCTTGAAATTGGAGGGGGAACCCCATCTACATCACAGATCAAGGCCAATATAGGTGAAACTTCAGTTGCAAGATGATGAAAATAAGTTTATTAGTGTCAAAGATCATCATCAAGCATGAGTTTATATGCCCCTTGCAACCTGAAATGAAAAATGTTTTTCTCAATATGCATCAAATCATATGCAAATGAAGTCTACAGCCCAAAGGGATCAAACAATGACTCTCTAGCCTCAAATATACATTTCCAAATTGCCTTTGGAGACACAAGTTTGAGGTTTGAATAAATAAACCTGGTTCAAACCTAAAATTGAATCGCATGTCAGAAGAAGACAGCTTTATAACCACCCTTCCCTTAGGTAAGCCAACCATAAATACTTCTTAACACTGAGTTCTAATTCATTCATAACAAAAAATATACCTGTTAAAGATAATCCCCCAAAATAAAAACTTATAAAAAAAAAGATGAACCCAAAAAAAGGAAATATGAAGATACAAAATCCTTTGAAAGCAGAACCTAACCCAAGCCATATGACAGCAAGATAAAAAAACAACAGGCTCAAAGGCTAGATAGGCAAAAAAAAAAGAGCAACCTCAAGAGCACTGAGGCATATTCCTGGACAGATGAACCCCGACTCCAGAGGCTGTAGCTAGATTGTCAGCCAATGAATTGGCATATCATTCAACCCATTTTGATAGATGTTCATTTTAGAAGCCAAATATCTAACCTTCCTATGTGATTTCATACAGACCAAGGACCTGGATCATCCATTCCATTTATTTTCCAGCCAATAACCACTTAAGAATCTCTCTCTACGTCCAACCTATATAAAACCTATATACCTTTAAGTGATGTTATGATCTCTTCTCTTATCAAGTCCTTAGAGCCAATAAGGTCCTTCTAATCTTCCCCTAAAGATCTCTGAAGACACCCTTACTTTTACATCCCCCAAGTTAATTAAGGAAAAAAAAAGCTTCAATTCAGCCAGACTGCTGCTTTCCTTGCGGGAAGCCAATTCTGTGAATGAGAATATACTGTCTACTGGCACATGCTCTTGCCACATGATAGAAACTTCTATAACATCATCAATTAAGAAGTCTCTACACTAACTGTGATAAAAATTAACTAATCTCTTTCATTCTTTTCCTTATTGATTACCTACAGAGCTGCTATAATTTTTATCAAACTTGCACATGATATTCCACCTTATGCACACAAGTGTGTCAGGGAGTTGGGGGGGAGAGAAGATGCTCAAACAAGTTTAGGTTCTTGAGAATGTTCTATTTTCATGTTCCAATGCTTTATTTCCAAGGACGGTAATCCCTGTTAGTACCAGCTATAAGGAAAATGGCAAGAACCTAAACAAAAGCAAATTCCGAGGAGCAGATTAAAAGTTACATGAAGCGTTAAATGTACTGAATGAACTGATCTAATGACCTATACAGCAATAGACTGCCGATACCAACAAGAGTCACAAAAGTAGTTAACCAAAAGATAGCCCTAATATATAAAACTGATACAAACAACTCATTACAGGTTGGACAACTTGTTTAGTAGGAATAAATCCTTTTGCATAAAGAGAAACTAACAGAATTTGCTTTTACTAAATATGGGATTAAAAACATCAGTGTGCATTCAAAGTGAAAATTAAACTCATGGAACTATGAGGTCCATATCAATATTCACCTTGTCATAGAAGTACAGGTTGGAGCTCTAAATTTTATACGAAATCAATAACATTTTAACCAAATAACACAAAATTTTCTAGGAACTCGAAAATCACTAACCCTCAACCAAGATCCCCATGAGAAGAGCTTCGGTCCCGGTATTCGGGTATTTAAGCTTCCTGGCTTCCAATTCTGCCATTGCAAAAGACTTTATCGCCCTCGCAGACCACCTTCGCCATTATTCAACAGAAAATTTAAGCACGAACAAATCCAAAAACAAAATCAGTCCAAAATAAAAATAATATGCAGTCACACTCAATTAACCTTACTTGGGTATCTTCTCAGCAGGAGCCCTATCTGGCTTTCTGGAAAAGGAGAAGACAACAATCATAAAAAATCAAAATCCTTCCGAAATGATGCCCTCAGTGCAGAGAAATCAAAACAAAAGTGAAACCGGAACTTACGCAGTCGGGAGACTAAACAAAACAGTTGCAACAGCCGGGCGTTGCCGGCGGAGTAGGGGCCTCAAATTGGAAGGACGAAGCGAGAGCTTATTCCCGAGCAAAGTATTCACCAAAATTGCCGGTCTGAGATAACAAGGGAAGGATTGAGAAGATTGGATTGGTTTTCTACAGGCTGATTGTGAAGCGGCAGTTGTTGACGGTAATACGGAGAGCGTTCGAGCAGCCATTGCCCACAAATCCTGATTACTGAAGGGGATGGAATGGAACAAAAAATAGGGCTTCTTTTACGAACCAGCAAGAATTTTCACAGGTTGTTCTTGGATTCAAACGAGGGAGCAAACAAAGAATCGAATCGGGGAGAAGCAATGTTTTAGTCGAATATGACCTTGTAGTTTCTCTGATTTTTCTGCGAGGAGGGTTCGCTTCTCTCCTCAAGCAAGCAAAAGCTGTTCTTGGTAAAAGGATACCCGATAGCCACGGACCACGGTCTGCGACTTTGGCTTTCGATAAAACGGATAGCAATGTCTGATTTCTCGGTTGCAGGACTGCTGGACTGGGAGTGCGACAAACGTGAGAAGAATTGTAGTTAGGTAAAATTCTCGATCAGTACCTGTAATTTGGTTCGACTGACAATTTGATCTCCAAACCTTAAATCACATTTGAAAAGTCAAAAATGTCCTTTCAATAGAAAAGGCTAGGATTTAGGACTGTTTAATATTTTGTTAACATTTACATGGTTGATAAAGAGAATTATATGACATTTAAAGGGCATTTTTGACTTTTCAAATATCACTTAACGATTGATTAAAAGTTTGGTTAACGGCCGGTAATAGATTGTCACATTTTGAAAGTTTGGGTATTGGATTGTCGTATTTTAAAGTTTGGGGACCAAATTATCATTCGAGCTAAAGTATAGGGTACTGATTGGGAATTTTCCCTTGTAATTATGAGAAACTTAGGCCCTGTTTGGCCATGTTTCCATCTGTTCCTACTTGTTTAGAAACTTAGGTCCTATGTTTGGCAAATTGTTTTTGGAGAACGAAAATAGCATTTGAATAATAAACTATTTCTTAACATAAGTTTGCAAAGGTTCGTAACATACAACAAAAGACAATCTTCATATTACTCAACATATAACAAAAGACATAACAAAACACAACGATGGGATTAGAAAAGAAATCCCACCCATTCGGCATAATATATAACCATTAATGGGATTAGAGAAGGAACCACACCCATTTGGCAAAACATATAACAAATGCAAACAAAATAATATAAGAAAAACGATTTCAGATCGCATCGGTTACAGATTGTTTAAAATTCATCTTTGCGGTGGGAGCAAAAAACGAGTTTAGGTGAATCTGATTGGAGAAAAGGTGAGTTTAAAATAGAGCACACGATACAAAACTAGGTACAGTGACGAGACAACATACCTGTTGACGCATTCTTGGCCAGAAATGTCACAAGTGTCGTCAGTGCTTTCTACCATTCGCTTGTCGCCCAATTGGAGCCAAGGAAGTCCCTCCTTCCTTTGAGATTTGTAGTGGAAAGTTGGAAGAGTTCATTATCGAACAAAAATGTTTGATAGGGCTTCTTTCTATCATTTAGTGTGAAATATCCAAAATACTCCTTCTCTCACGTGGGAGTCATTAACACATATTCATTAATAGGGGTTAACGTCGTGGGAACCGCACGTTCCCTAGGAATGCGTTCTTTGGGAGCATCAATTTTTCACTCCCAAAGAATGTGTTCGTTGGGTGTTGTTCTTACGCGAAACACCTTGTTTTTTTTTTCTTTTTGTTTTTCTTGTACCAAACGCATTTATGCTCCACGAGAACACCGCGAACACGCAAAACGTTTTTGCAGAATGTTGCCAAATAGGGCCATAAGTGGATAAAGTCGGAACATAATTTCGTATGTAAATATGGAGGATTTGTAAATAAATAAGGAAAATGAGGGTATTTTAGGGGTATTCTCTAGTGTGGATAAAAAATTGGTGGATGGCTGGTCCACGCCACATCACTTTGGCATGAATTAATCTATGCCATACCATAGTCTACAAGTATTTTGAACCTGGACAGATTGTGTGAATCACATAGTGGTATTTTAGGGGGTGTCCAATCCATACCCATAGTGGAGTTATTCGATTCGGTTAATTCGATTTTTGTAAATTTCAGTTTTTAGAATTAAAAAGTCGGTTAACCAAAAAAAAAACAGAATTAACCAAAATTTATTATATAATATATAACATAGAATGCTATATATTTATATATTAATATATTATATATAGTATATTATAATGAAATTTAGTTTCATAATATGTGTGTGTGTTATAATATACAATATTTTATGTATGTTAATGAAATTTGGTTTTAACCATAAATTGAACCGAAAATTTTGGATTCGGTTATTTCGATTTTCTTGTAATTCGGTTTCGGTTTGGTTTTATTTTTTTATTTCAGTTTTTAAAATTTTGGTTTATTCAATTCGATTTTTAACCAAATAAACCGAATGCACACCCCTAGTAATCTACACAATTGATCATAAATGTCTAATTTTTATAATTTATATGATAAATAAATTGAAAAAAGGCATCAACAATTGAATATTAACCAGTAAATATTAATTTTAACAAAAATGGTAATAGAATAATTTTAACCAATAAATTTTAGTGCCTTTATAGGATGTTTCTCATTGGCAATTTTTGGCAAGTGAAGTGTGATGCATTTGGTGTTAGGTTGCAAGCCGGACACCAAGCTGAGGTATGGCATCGAATGGTTTTCTTTTGATTATGGTTGGATAGCTCTCAGGTTTATCACACTTCTTTTATCCCTTGTTAGTGTAAAAAGAGAAATGTGTGATGCATCTTATCAATGAGTAGGAGAGATAAATTGTCAAAACACTGGGGACCAAACTCAGCCACGAGATAAATTACTGAAAGAAATTTTGTGTTGTGGACGGGGCTGATCCACAATATATTGTGGACCAGTCCCATCCATGGCAAACCAAATGTCATGGCCATCCCATGGCGGGACTGAAACAACCACCGTAGTGAGTACATAGGTAAATACCCTTGTAACCAATACTAAGAGAAGGTTTTTGTTTGGAATTGAGAAACAGGGATGCTAACAGATCAGATCGGATTCGAATCAAGGTATATCCAAATCCAATCTGATAGCATATATACGAGATCTGGTCGAATCTCACAAATGGTGATTTGAGTTCGAATCCATTAAGGATGTTGAATATCCGAAACTGATCTGATTTAATTTAAAATCCAAAAATTTTTAATAAATTATTAAAAGAAAAAACAACAATTTATATAAAGAGAAACAAAAAAATATAAGTTGAACATAAAGGCAGATTTATGTTAAGACTTTGAAACATTATAGACAACCGAGTTGTTCTATTGGTAAGACACAATCCCATTTGATGTTTGAGTTTGGCATTAATAGTAAATAGCCTGACCAAGTGGATGGCCTTTATTATATAAGGCTTATAAAGTATGACTTTGAGGTGAGAGAGGCAGGGGAGGTTAACTTGTTGGTTGGCATGCGTTAAGAGTATTTTGTCAAGTTGAAACTAAATAAGATTATGTCAAATGGGTCAGGGTCATTCTTATCAATTATCATGTAGAAAAGTTTCTGTCAAGTGCATGAGTAACGTATCCTCCTCCTCATCATCATCATCCAAGCCTTAACCCAACTATGTAAGGTTGGCTAATTGAATCCCATTTTGCCATTTTAGTGACGTATCCTATTTTGTCAAGTTAAATCTAAATAAGATGATGTCAAATGAGTCAGGTTAATTCTTCATCAATGCATGAGTGATATATCATCATCAATAACAACAGCAGCAGCTTTATCCCATGTGGGTCAGTTATACGAATCTTGTTTTTACCATTCTACTCATATCCAATGTTAAATGTAGGGATTTATTGTTCATAATGGCAATTTTTTGGCCTTAATATCAATAAGAATAATATTTTTAAAATAATTATTAAAATAGGTTAACTTTTTAAAAAAATATATATCAAATAGGGGCAGAAAGACTATTCATCTCCTTCCTCCTTTAAACCATCGAATAGATCTTCCCCGATTCCGATTTCTAAGCATTAATGGCGTCCAAAGCTGCTTCAGGTACCTCCAATAGGCTTCTGAGAGACCAGAATATTTACCTCCCTACTACGTCGCTCACGTCATCGATTCCTACACTATGAACAAGGTTCGCAGAGGAAGCTGTGAAATCTGGCGTAATTTCACCACTGATGGAGATTCTTTGAGGGAAGATCAATTGGGTCGAGCAAAGAGCCGCCGTTTGACTTGCTTACCAAAGGGGTGGGAAGCTTGGAGATGGAGAATCGAAAAGCAGAGGAATGGGCTAGCCAGATTCAGTGTTGGTTTCTCTAGAAAATCACACAGAAGAAGCTATGAAATCTTCTTTGAGGGAAGATCAGTTGGGTCGAGCAAAGAGTTGTCGTTCAACTTGCTTACCGGTATGACTTGCTTACCAGAGGGGTGGGAAGCTTGGAGATGGAGAATCGAAAAGCAGAGGAATGGGCAAGCCAGATTCAGTGCTGGTTTCTCTAGAAAACCAAGCAGAGGAATGTGCTCCTAATGGATTACAAAGAACAAATTGAAATTCAAGAACAACAAAAGGGTAGAGGTATCTGAAGAAGAAGAAGAAGAAGAAGAAGAAGGGAGAGAGATAGAGGTGGGGAGATTTATTCGGTGGTTTAAGGAAGAAGAAGATGAATAGTGGTTTTGCCCCTTTTTGATATTTTAAATAAAAAGTTAACCTATTATAGAAATTATATTAAAAAGGTTATTTTTTATTGATATTAGGGCCCAAAAGTTGCCCTTATCAGCTAGAATCCCTTAAATGTATAGCAGGTTCTTTGAAGATATCTAAAATTTGGAAGTTTTCAACATAATAAAGCCAAATTCTTAAACTAGTTTGGCTCCATTGGAGAATATTTTTTATTCTTTCCCCTTTTTCTTTATACATTTATTAGGAGATGTAAAATAATAAATTTAACAATACTGGTAGAGTAGTAGTGGGGGTGGTAAGTAAAAGAATCAGTGGTAAGAAATTCTCGGTTGTCTTGAGATTCCGGATAACAATATTTCATTAGATGAATGGAATTTATTTATTTATTTTTTGCTATATATAGAAAGGATAAAAAATATAACATAAACACTTATCTAGAGCTTTTAGAAGTCAAATGAAGAAGTTGCTTTTGAGAAAGTACTTCAATGTCAATTTGGATAATGAATGGAGTCATCTATAGGAAAGATTGGATCATGAAAGTTTATCTCAAGACACTCTGTCCAACATGTCCAAAAAATGGGCGTGGTAGAAATGTGAATGCCAAAACCTAAAATGGATGAGCGAAAAAATTAGAAAAAGATTGAATCATGAATGAAGTAATCTTTTGGAACCTAGGAGTAGGGGTGTTCAATAAAAACCAAAAAAACTAAACAGAACCAAGGAAACTAAATAAAAAAATCTGGTTATTAGAACCGGTCGATTTGGTTTTAGTTCAGTGTTTTGCAAAAATTGGTGGTATTAG